TTAAAAAAAATAAAATAAAATAAAAAAATAAAAAACATTAGTGAAGTTAAATATTGTAACTCATTCATGTCATTTGTCTAGTTTTCAGTTTGGGGGTGAGGGTCTTTTTCTGACTTCATTAGAGCTTTGTGGATGGAGGTTAATTGATTAACTCTGTTCTATGCTGCAGATATTCTTCTGCCTTTTAATTCTATTTTGGTTTTATGTACTTACTGTCTTATGACCTTTTTGCACTTAACTCTATATGTTGAACATTTCCCATGCCATTCAGTATTTTTTGATGCTATCATTTCAACGGTCTATAGAGCATTCTGTTTATTAGATTATAAAGACAATTTATTTTGCCAGTCCTTAACATCAACATTAGATTGTTTTGTGACCAGAAATTTCAATCAGTAGATATGTTCTCTGTTACTTTTTGGCATTAATAGAGTCAACAAGCGTTCGTGAAATACTAAGAAATACAACTGAGATAAATTAATTTGTTTGATGTAAAAACATTCGTTTTTCATAAAAATTGGATTTTCTCAAACTTGAGATATTTTTATTTTGGAAGATAGTGCAGATATTTGGAAGGGAAATCTTTATTTAGAAGATAAGTGCAGGTTGTCCTACAACTTTTGGCTTTATTGGCAAATTTCTTAAAATATGCTATTTTGATACCTAGGAATATTTGTTTATGCTTAATTTATACTATTTAGGAAGTACAAGACAGTAAAGGCAAATTATTTGAGAGGTCATTTTAACTAAAGTTTTTTTCTTTTTTGGAGAAACTGTTCAAAAAAAAACATGATTTAAAAAAAGGCTATACCTCATCAAAGGCTAGAAGTACCAGATCTATTATAGGGCTTCTTCTTTGGTTACATTTATTGTGAAGTTAAAGCCAAAAAAACTTTGTAACTGTTACAATCTTATGAATCTTACTTTGAGGCTTACAAATCTTAGTTAAAAGAAAAGATATATTTTATAACTATGACCTTAAGTCAAAGTCTTGAAAATGTTTTATCCTCATTTTTATGTCTAAAATGTAAATTAACCTTCTGGAAACTGAGTAGTTTTTATTGTCGTTGTTTTACTATTTTATGATTCCCTAAGGTTATCCAACATAATATGGGTATAAAATACAGAGTTCTCTTAATGATCCAAAATGATTTCTTTTAAGATCTCCATTTTTTACAGTAAGAGTTGTTAACAGATTCTTTTATAATACACAATGTTGGATCCTGAAACAGAGTAAACAAACAGGTCATTGTTTAAAATAAATAGTGTGTACTGTGTTCAAAGGACTGTGAATTTTTGTTTTGAATTGTTCTTATTATATAATTTTAGTTCTAGAATACAATACATAATATATTTTAATTTGATGTGATACAAAGATATTTACTTTTAGGTGCAATATTAACAATTTGGAATATTCTTTAGATTATTTTTAAATATATAAACATGTGTGACTAATTTTTAATCTTAGTTTTGGAGGAAAAATACTCTGTTTTGTGGAAAAACAAAGATTATGACTAGGGCATGGAGGGAATCCAAATATTTGGAAATTCTTTCAAAAATGTTTTTTTCTTAATTTGCAATTATTTTTTCTGAAGTAAAATATTTGTATTTTGCATTACTTCCTAGAATTTTATTTTGGAGTTATCACAGGTCACTTTTATTTATCTTGGCACACTATGTTTGGTAGAGTAGGGTTCTTTTTTTTTTTTTTTTTTTGACAGAACAGTTTATGAGTTTGGAGACTAGGTATTTAGAATAAATTTGTTCTATAGTTATGTACACACATACAGAAATCCGGCATTCGATTGTGTTCTGCTTCCGTTTTCATGGAAGGGTTTGCTTTGGGGACAGCTTATGAAAGGGCATGACCTGGAGATCAGGTTGGGGTAGAGAAATACAAACTTGCAGGTTTTCAGTGAATACTCTAGGCCACAGGGATGACATAAGCTGAAGTTCAGGAATGGAATGGTCTGTATTACGCAGCCGGCTGACAGAGCGGAGTGATAAGCCAGTCAGTCAAGAGGACAAAACCTGTGAAGATAAAGAGCCTGTAGCAGTCAGTGTGTGCTCTTTTTGTGCCCCAGCTGGTGCAATGTATTATTTGCCAGGCCCTGGGACACCCCTAGCTGAGTAAATGGTGCCACTCTCCTTTGAACAATTGCAGTAAAAATCCTACAAGTCATTGCTAGTTCCTTTCCTTCACCTTGATGCCAAATTCACTAACACATGACAAATGTCAAGTCCTTTCCTTCTCTCCTGTGCCATTCCATCCTCTTACCCTGAGCTAGGATCATCTCACCTGGACCTGTGTAGTGGCTTTCCTGAGTCTACCTTTGTCTCCTTCCAGTCCATTCTCCAGAGGAGCTGGAGAGATCTTTTAAGAGAAGCCAGATCTTATCCCTCTCCAAGTGAATACTTTCCACCGAATTTTAATTTCATTTAGAATAAAGTCTGATTTTCCTACAAAGTTCTAAATCCCTGGCTAATGATTTTGACCTCATCTGAAATTGCCTGTCACCCCTGCTTCCTCCCTTGAGCTCCAGCCACACTGGTCTTCTTTTTATGTATCAGATATGCTCACTCAATTTAGCGCTTTCTGTTCCTAGTGCTTTGCCTTGCTGCCTCTTTTTCATCCTCCAGATGAGTTCAAACATAGCTTCTTCAGTGAGGCCTTTTTCTAATCATGCTTTCCAAAACAGTATCTTTCAGTGCCCTAACCAATCCTGTTTCCTTTATTCCCATCTGTTTTATTTCCTTCACTGCACATCACTTTGTTTAGAATTCATAGTCATTCATTCAGTATGTATTTATTATATACCCAGCATATGCCAGGCATTGTTCTAGGCACTTGGAATTCATGAATTCATTGATGAACAAAAAAGACAAAAGAGAACCCCTGTTTTTAGGAAATTCACATTAGTAGGGTTGAGAGAAGAACAATACATAATAAATAACACATAACTAAATTACAGTTGGGCAATTTGTTAGAATGTAGCAAGTGTAATAAAAAAATAGAATATGATAGTACAGATTGGGAGATCTGGATGGGGTTTAGGGGCTGGATTCATATTAAATAGGGTTGTTATGGTGGGTCTCATTATTGTGTTGATAATTAGAGTTCTTTTGTTTCTTTTCTTTTTAGCTTCAGCACCAGTCAGCAAAGTGAATAAGTACTGTGCTTCCTCCAACTTTCATTCCACTTTGGGAAAAAAGAATATCATCATGTCAAGCATTACAATTGACCCAGATGTCAAGCCTGGTGAATATGTCATCAAGAGCCTCTTTGCAGAATTTGCTGTTCAAGCCGAAAAGAAAATTGAAGTTGTAATGGCTGAACCCTTGGTGAGTAGAGTTGACCTATAAATCTGAAATATTTTCTTAACTTTTCTATTAACCATTATAAACAAAATTTCTGAAGGAAATAATGTACTTGAAAAAAAATTAAAGGAAGCCAATCTGAAAAGGCTACATACTGTATAATCCCAACTGTAGGACATTATTAAAAAGGCAAAACTATGGAGACAGTAAAATGACTGTCAGGGGCTGGGAATGGAGGGATGGATAGGCAGAAGAAAGAGGATTTTTAGGGCAGTGAACTTACTCTGATACTGCAGTGGTGGACATATGTCATCATACGTTTGCCCATACCCACAGAATGTACAACACCAAGAGTCAACTGTAGTGTAAATTACAGAACTTGGATGATTAGGAAGTGTCATTGTAGTTTCGTCAGTAGTAACAAATGTACCACTCTGATGGGGAGGCTAGGTAAGTGTGGGATGGGGTATATGGGAAATCAGTACCTTCCACTCAGTTTTGCTGTGAACCTAAAACTGCTCTAAAAAAAATAAAGTCTTAAAAATTAAGAGATAAGGGACGCCTGGGTGGCTCAGGCGGTTAAGCATCTGCCTTCGGCTCAGGTCATGGTCCTGGGGTCCTGGGATCGAGTCCCATGTCGGGCTCCTTGCTCAGTGGGGAGTCTGCTTCTCCCTCTGCCTCTCCCCCTGCATGTGCTCTCTCTGTCTCTCTCTCTCAAATGAATAAATAAAAAATCTTTAAAAAAAAATTAAGAGATAAGTTAGTAAAGTTGTGATCTAGAAAGCTGTAATGACTTTAGAATCCACCTTAATAAGTTACTGCAGGTCACCAAAGAACAAAAATGATTTCACCAAAGGGGATCGTTGAAACAGATAAAACATAAGAGAAAATAAAGGAAAATCTAGAATATTCTGCAAGTTGATGATATGGCAGTTGCCAAACTTACAATAAAACAGTAAACTTATTTTTAGACGTATAGTGCATGAGGCATACTTAAGTGGTCTGAGAAGCTCCATGTGATTAGAGCTTATGGTAAAGAGGAAGGAAGAGAAAGACTGAAAACAAATGTTTGAGTCAGATTCTGAGGGGTTATTGAAGGTTGTTGTGATAGATAATACAGTGGTTAGACATTAGCAGGGAGAAGAGATTAAAGGCAGAGACTAGAGGCGCGCCTGGCTGGCTCAGTGGGTACAGCATATGACTCTTGATCTCTGCGTTGTGAGTTTGAGCCCCATGTTGGTTGTAGAGATTACTTAAAAATAAAATCTTTAAAGGCAGAGACTACTGTTTAGCTGTTGTATATAATTCAGGCTGGAATGAAAAGAGTCTTGAATTAGGGCATTAACAGTGGAAGTGGTTGGAGAAGAAAGATAACAGAATTAGTAGAACTCAACAAATAGGAGTAGGTGTTTTGAGGGAAAGTGAAGGTTAAAAGTTCTTTGAAGTGTTAGAAGAGATGACATTAGATTAAAGAACATGAGAATATGATTGGGGTAGGAAAGGAGAATAAGATAATTTTTCTTGTGTGAATGGTAAGCTTGAGATACTGGTAATGTAAACCATGTGGAATTATTTTATTGGTAGCTGGGAATTCTTTGTCAGTGACCAGAAGTGATGACCAGAAATAGAGATTTTGGCATCGTCTATGAGAGGGTGATAAAGCCAAAAGAGCAGATGATGATCAAGAGAGAGTGTAGAATAGCATTATTATTGTCAAATGATACAGAGGGGAAGAGTACAAGGAACACTGGGAAAAGTTGCTGGACTTGGGAATTAAACAGCCTCAGAACAGTTTTAGTAGGGTGATACAACTTTAGGAAATAACTTTGGGGGTTTGAAGGGGCTGGATATGTGATGTATCAAGATCACAGTGTCAGCTAAAAGCAGGATGATCACAATGAAGATGGTGGTGGAGGATTTAACAGCTGAAATTTATTTATTCCTTATGCAGCTGGGTTAGGGATAGGTTTTCACCAGTGATTTGAGACCCCAAGGGTTTGCTACTTGCCTGAAGCTCAAAGCCACTGAGTGGCAGAACGAGGAGTTAGGCACAGTAATGGCGTCAGAGCCTGTATGCTGACTCACTTCGCTGTACTTCCTACTGAGGAAGGAAAGGGGGAAAGGAAGAGAAGGGAGAATAGGTGATGACCTAAGAAAGGTGAGAAGTTGAAGGAGGTATTGTTCTGTGTTCTTAAGTCTTACTTCACTAAGAAAATTAACATTGCTAAGATTGCCAAGGTATGTGAGTGGGTCTGCGCATGCCTGTGAGTGAGTTTCTTGTCATTAAGTAGAGAAGAAACTACTGTTTGTGTATGTGAGGTCCAATAAATAATAATATGTAAGAGATCATTAGCCAAAATGTATGTTCTAAAACTGTGCAGCTCACTGTATTCAATTTAAATCATTCCACAGTTGCTTTATATGTAACAAATTAATGATTTTGTTTTTATCAGTGAGTATATATTTACAGCATGTATATAAAGTTCCACCTTAGAAATAAGGATTACAAGAACTCATAGATATGACTTAATGATTATGAGGTTTGATTATAAATGTGCTTAATCTATAAAATGTTGTTTTCTTCATCAGTGGTCTGTGAATTACTTGGTAGTGTGCTGCAGTAGCCTGCTTAACCACCGTACAATAAGAAAGGGAACAGGGGCGCCTGGGTGGCTCATCAGTTGAGCCTCTGCCTACTGCTCAGGTCATGATCCCAGGATCCTGGGATCGAGCCCCGCATCGGGCTCCCTGCTCCGTGGGAAGCCTGCTTCTCCTTCTGCCTGCCACTCCCTCTGCTTGTTCTCTCTCTCTCTCTCTCTCTCTCTCTGACAAATAAATAAATAAAATCTTTAAAAAAAATAAGGGAACCACTTTAAAAAAATATACATTAAAAAAGTTATGGAACATGGTGACTAGTTGATAATACTGTATTATAAACTTGAAATTTGCTGAGAGTAGAACTTAAATGTTCTCACCAAAAAAAAAGGTAAATATGGACATGTTAATTAGCTCAATGTGTACATATATCAAATCATCACATTGTACACTTTAAATATATTACACTTGCATTTGTCAATTATATCTCAGTAAACCTGAAAAAAGAAAAATGTTTATGAAAAATTTCAAGTTTATATAAAAGTACAGATTATAGTGTAATGAACCCTCCAGGACCCATTGCCTTGCTTCAACAACTTTCTCTCTCTCTCTCTCTCTTTTTTTTAAAGATTTTATTTATTTTTTTAAAGACTTTATTTGAGAGAGAGAGAGAGAGAGAGAGAGAGAGAGAGCACAAGCGGGGGGAGGGGCAGAGGGAGAAGCAGGCTCCCCACTGAGCAGCGAGTACCTTGAGGGGCTCAATTCCAGGACCCTGAGATCGTGACCTGAGCCGAAGGCAGATGCTTAATGACTGAGCCACCTAGGCACCCCTAAAGATTTTGTTTTTTAAGTAATCTCTATTCCCAACGTGGGGCTCAAACTCACAACCCTGAGATCAAGAGTTGCACCCTCTACCGACTGCGCCAGCCAGACACCGCTGGCTTCAGCAACTTTCAACTCGCACAGCACATTTAAAAAAACACTTCACCTATTTTATAAAATACTTATTTTTTATTGTATAAAATATTTAATCAATAGCAACACGTGGTATGGTCCTGTCAACTCTCAAATATTATGTTAAAGGAATTTTAATTTTGAAATACAAAGTTCTTGAGAGTAAAAGCATTAAAAGAAAATATGGGTGAAATTACCTTGTTTGACTGAGCTTATAAAATGGTGATTTTATGTCTTCCTCCTTTCTTTTTCTTCCAATGCCATTGTCACTGTCCTAGCTCAGGGTCAGCTTCACTCATATTAGATCATTGCAATAACCAGTAAATAAGTGGTTTATCACCTTTCCATTTGCCTTGCTCTCAGACTTTGCTTCATCTACAACAAGTATTATTACCTTTTTCCTTTAAAAATCTTGTTGACTTTTTGTTGCTATGGAATAAATTCAAGTTCTGGGTGGGTCATTCTAGCCTCTTCAGAGTCTTATTACAGTTTGTATAATGTCTCATGATTCTCCTATCCTGTCTCTCCTATGACACTTAATGTATCCTCTATATATTCTTTTGTCCTGGTGTGTTTGTTCTTATTTATCTCTTAATCCAAAATACTCTTAACTCTTCTGTATTTTAAGCCTCTACTCATCCTTCCAAACTTCCCACGTGTTCCTTCTCACATAGTGATCCTCTTCAAGCTATACGAATCTTTGTTTTATCATAATAATTTTTCATACTCCTAGATTCTGACATTGTCATGTTAATGGCTTACATGTTTATCTCCTCTGATGGGAGCTACGTGATACCAGGAGCCAGGTCTCCTCTGCCTTTTTATAGCACCGCCTGTGGTGGTAGATGCCTAGTAGAAGGTGCGTAGTAAAGATTTGTATTTTAAGTTGACTTTAGCCTGAAAGAACATCGCTGTGGTGTGTACCCTTTGTTCTTCTAACAAGACATAATGTCATTGTTCCAGCCAGAGCTTTTAATAGTTCTTTCATAATAGTCTGATGCTGACTACATTTTATTCTGTAACTTAGTAGCTAATTTCAGAGACATCTGCTGTGTAATCTGAGATTATAAAATTTGGTAAATAGTGGTGAGGTTTCCACCAGAAAATCGATGTTTTTACCCCACCATTGTACTTAGAAGAAGCACTCCCTGCTTACTCTTCCTGACATACCAGGAAACCCCCCAGTGTAATGGACTGTAGCAACCAAGGACAAAGTCGGTTAAGCATCCGATTCATGCTTTCGCCCCAGGTCATGATTTCAGGGTCCTGGGATCGAGCCCCGCGTGAGGCTCTGGGCTCAGTGTGGAGTCTGCTTTGTCCCTCTCGCTCTGCTCCTCCCCCTGCTCCCCCCGCCTCTGGAATGAATTTAAAAAATTTTTTTAAATTGTAAAAAAGATTAGATAATGATACGTTTAATCTAATACTGTGACAGTGTTTATATGATAGCTTCAAATTTATTTATTGTGATTTCATTT